AATTAATTTATGTTCTAATCATCAAATCATCATTTTATCATTCACCAAAGTGATTTAATAATTACCCTTAACATTATTTTGGGAACAACTTACTGAATACTGTTCCCACCATAGGAACAACCTGCTGAATGTCATTCCCACTTCGGGAACGACCATTATTTATCAAAAAAATTTCAAAAAGTGTTTATCCACTTCAAATTTCGTTCTGAATTCATTTCCTTCATTAGTTTCATCAAATCAAATCTAATTTATCATCTCACAGACTAAGGTTAGGTATTTGTCAAATTATCATTTTACCCTTCGTGTGTATTTTTGCCTGAATTTCAAGATTTTTACTAAATAAACCCTCTAACCAACATTTTAACTATAATTAAGTGTTTTAAAACTACGAGGTGTTATATTCACCCCTCCTTTTTGAAATTGTGTCCGCAAAATTAAAATCGCAATTATCCACTAACTCGGGATATAGCCGGATCACCTCATCCTTCCGCTCCAATGTAGCCTCCTCAAGTGTATGTCTTTTCCATTTTACTTTCATCACAGGCATAATTTTGTTTTGCAGTATCCACCATTCCCCAATCCCTCATAACTACTTGCCAATTCCGGTGATATGACTTTTAATTCACTATAGTTTAAATCTTCCATAGGCCAAGGTCATACCTTAGGCTGCACTTTCACTAATTTATAGGTAATAATATAACTATATTACAAATTCGTCTGCCTATCCTCAATTCATTTTCATCTTTGTCTATCTCTCTGACCCAAGGTCGTTCACAATCTAAGATGCACGGACATAGACACGAGACACGACACGCCGACACGTTAATTCTAAAAAATGTCATATTTCGACACGTTGAGACACGTTTTGATATTAAATAAAATTTTTAACATATGTAATATAATTTATAATTAATACATATAAGAGTCCATAATAACTCATATAACCAATCAAATATTTAAATTTCATAACATAAATATGAATATAAATAATTTTTCGTACTTTGTTAATTTTTCATGTCAAATTTCATAGTGGAAAAAAAATTAATTTATAAATTATTTCTTTTATATTTAGTTAACAAAATAAAATTAAGATTAAAAAAAAACGTGTCTGAGCTTGTCCGAAAACGTGTCGGAGCGTTGACCGCGTGTCGAAAAAAGTTGACTGCGTGTCAGAAAAATGTGTCAGAACGTGTCGGAGAGTTGACCGCGTTTCCCTAAATGTTGACCGCGTGTCCGAGTGTGTCCGTGCTTTCCAGTTCACAATATCCTCTGACAGTTTCCAAGTATATTTACTCGTCCTTTCTTGAACATTTTCAACTCACACTTTCTTTAGTACTTTAATCCTTTCGCTGTCAATACTGTTTCAACAATACCTTAATGTACTAGTCCTTTCCCCTAAGAACTCTAATCTTACAATTTCATTGATGCCTTAGCTTTCCCACAAGCATATACCTTCTAGTTTCAACGGTACTCTACAGTATCCAATAATCTCAACTCATAGTGAATTTCATATTTATATGTTTTACTTTACTTTATCGCATGTCTCCACATCCTCTTAGATAATCACAACTATATTTTCTCCTAGTGATACAAGGACTAATAACCCTCATCATAGTTTATATCTCAGGTCAGTCACTTCAAGTCTTCATCCGCAATCCATTCATGAAACTTTCCATCTACAACATCATACCTGTAATTCACATTCATTATTCGTTTGTCTATTAACTTAATCATCTCAAGGCCTAAACACAAAATCCAGCAATGACTTCCACATCCAAGGCTTCATGCCTAAGATTTCTACTAACTTAACCATTTTTACTTATTACAGAATACATGTGCTAATAATTCCCATAATTGTTTCACTCTTTAGACCTTTATTTCACAATCATGTCATTTAATCTTTGATGTTCATCTCAATATAATATATTCCATCACGTAGGGATATCCAACACATTGTCCAATCACATAGAACTAATTGCATCACTAATACAATCTACACTTTTATCATACATCAGTCCTTGCACTGATAAGTACACATCAGTCCTTGCACTGATAATTGTGCATCATTCCTTGCACTGATAGTTGTACATCAGCCCTTGCATTGATAATTGTACATCAGTCCTTGCACTGACAATTGTACATCAGTCCTTGCACTGATAATTACACATCAGCCCTTGCACTGACAATTATACATCAGTCCTTGCATTGATAATTATACATCAGTCTTTGCACTGATAATACAATCCATAATTTTATTGTACATCGGTCCTTGCACTGATAATACAATTTCGTCATTCAATGGTACCTTAATCCTTTCACTAACTATACCATTTTCATTTTATATTATACATTGCATATACTTGACATTACATTTTGCATTCTTCACACGGTACAATCTCAGTTGTGCAGTAACATAAGACATCTCACCTATTCCAGCAGTCACCTCAATACATGATACTTCCTTGTATCATAGTCCTCATAAAACAGAACAATAGTCTTCGGGAACATAATCCGCACAGAGATAAAAGAGTCTCTGGAAACATAATCCGCACAGAGATAATCATACTCTCCGGGCACATAAGCCGCACAGTGATAACCATACTCTCCGGGCACATAAGCCGCACATGTTCAGGATATACTTTCAAATAGCCTTAAGTTTTTGCCATTGGCTATATATTTCCTTGTAGAGATATACTTTGTGCAGAAGAAAATTGAAACTTGGTCTACAAAATGGATTGTTCTTAGGACGTTTAGTTTTGTTTGCTTTCTGGTGACAGTAATGGATCTCATCACTTGAAGGAATCATAAGCGAGAAACTATTCAATTTCAACAATTGTAGAGGATATTGCTTGTTATCAATGACACTCTGCCTAGTGCAAAAAATATATTAAGGTTAATGAAAATGATGCTTTCTTAGTAGCATTTGAAGCTATTGGATGAGTTAGGCTAAGTACATTGTGGCATTTGGAGAATTAAAAGGAATAAAAAATGTGTTTGCTTGGTGTGTTTACATGCAGCATTTTGGCAAGTCTATCTATCCACCTTGAGGACAAGGTGTTTGTTAAGGGGTGTGGAATGATACATATGGGTAATTAGTATGTTATTAGAAAAGTAAGGGAAATTAGGGAGTGACTTGAAAGGTTGTTATAGCTGATTTGGTTGTTATAGTTGATAGGTAATATGATTTTATTGTTAGATTTTGTTATGTGAGTATGTGATACAAAATGTATATTTGTCTTGTGAGTATTTTTCTATTTTAAGAGGAAGAGTATGGCTATATAAGATTAGGAATATATTTTTCTTATGTTGTAGGAAAAAAGTTACCTCATGTTGTAGAAATAAAAATATAAGTGAGACCCACATGTAAGAGGAGAGAGAAAAAAAGTGGTGAGACCCAACCCTTTTTGTGTGTGTAGAAAAATTGTTTATCTCATGTAAAATGAGATAAACATAACCCATAAGATTGTGTAATTTCTCTTTCAAAATTAACAAAGAAGTATTGTGTGAACTTTTTGGTTAAGGAGGAATTCTTCCCTTGAAGTGAGAAGTTTTATTCATATCAATATCATATATTTTTTTACATGAAAGTATCCAGTGATGTTATTCCCGATAACCATTTGAACTTGTTCTTAGGTAATAGCAGTAAGAAGTTCTACTTCAATGTATTTAGAGAAGTAGTCAAATGGTTACGACAAGATATTTGAGCTTAATTGCTTCGAGTTTGGGATATTCAAAATCCAAAATAACGGAAATATCTATGGTATTATTACTGTACTATTCAATCAGTACATTTATTCAATAAAAAATAAAGAATAACTATCATGTTTGTATGAAAGTGAGAGAAAAATATTTTTTTATCTAAATATTACTTATTGAATGACAGATATACAGAAGATAATCTCCGAAATAATGGCCACGTGATAGTCTTGGCTGTGAGTTTTTCAAGGGTGCGCTAGTTGAAATCCCCAAGCCTGTGACACGTGTAAAATGCAAACCATGAAATTTGTAGTCATATTTGTGTTTAGTGATCCCTGTTTACGGAAAAATCTAACATGCAACATTGCATATTGTGTTTAGTGTGTCCGTCATATTTGTATTATATATTTTTAAAAATATATAATATAAATATTAAAAAAAATCTCTTTTCTCATACTTTATGGACTAACGTGAAGAAAAAAATAATTTTAATATTTATATTATATATTTGTAAAAATATATAATGGAAATATAACCATCTCACGTCATACCGAGTGCAATTGTACGAAAGAAGTTCTCCTTGTGTAGAATAGGGCTATGAAAATGCGTCAACCTTGCCCACTTACGTTGGTCAAGTGACAAGATAAATGAGCAGTGATCTAGTGTTCCCAAATAAGAAAAGAGGTTGACTCGGCTTATTTAAAGTCATTCATTTTATATAAGTTAATAAATTGATTTATTTATATATAAAAATATATTTAAAAGTTTTATGCTTAATAATAAGTTACCGTATTATTTATGAAGCTTAGAAAATAACTCAAATGATAAAATTCCTCGTCAAAGATAAGAAAAGTCAAATTCTACTGATGGACTTTGTGCAGGGCTGAGCTTCAAGTAAATTTTTAATACAGTCTTTCCATTAAAAAATTTAATACCTGGATAATCGCTCGAGCTTCAAGTTTCCAAAAATTGGAGTGGATTCTTTCGTTTAAAAATTCACATAATAAGTTAGATGCAATTATAATAGGGGTTTAAGTCCTTTGCGTTCGAAGATGTGATTTGCTGTAGACACAATGTCATGTAGGATCCACTGCTTTAATAATAAAAAAATAAAAGCCCAACACATTTTTTTATGAATCAGCACAACATTTGATTTTTATTTTCTTGTATTTCCCATTATCATAATAGGAGAGATTCAAATATAATTTGCAAATATTAATAAGAAAGAGATATATACAAAAATTGTAACATAGGAAACATATAAGATAGCAGATAAAGTAACATCAAATATCAACAGGATGAGATAAAATAAAGTTTCCGTATTTTTACATAGCGTATGGGGGTACAATAATGTCATACATGTAATTTTGGTACAATGAAAAGAGCACCTGTCAACTATATTTGTAAGGACCACCAAACTACCAGTTCATACATAATAACTCTTTCCTTCATTCTCAAGTGAAATGCAGAAAATATATCTGTACAAGAATTAAAGCCTTAATGCAACTCTCCACAAGTGTACTGTTTGTGTTTAAAAAAAGCAGGAATTAAAATAAAGGACGTTTGAGACTCCTAAACTATCACTAGTATGTGAAAGGCCAAATCAATTAAAAGCCGTGCGAAATGCATTCTCTTCTTCCCATTACAGCTGAATCAATTGTGGAATGAGCTTTAAAAGAAAAGATAGCTCCAGCTGCGAGAATTGAGGCTTTGAGTTCACCTGCACCTTCCCAATCCCTTCAGTCAAACCCTCTACATCACCACCAACCTTTGTTGGCTTTATCATATCCGCAACTGCCTGTGTTATTTCTTGGACAAAATCCACAATCACCCCATCGATTCCCATAAGATGTTGCAGGTAAACTGCTTCTGAAACATTGCTGCAATGCCAGACCAAAATAAAAAAAAAAAAAATCAACAGCCAGAATATTTACACACAACAACAATTTCTCGAAAACTTCAACCACCAAATAAGCAAAAATAAAAAATGGGACTAAAAAAACCAACAACATACTTTAATTTGCCATAGGTAAGAAGACATAGCTTGGACTCCTTGATCTTTGTTACTGCTCCAGGATTTCTAAATATGCCTTTAACCTCAGAGACAATTCCGTCCAATTCATTCTCCAAACAGAGCTTCATAGCTTCCTCCAAGGAGTTCCTTCTCACATCTTCATAGACTTCACATCCACCATTTGTCAAGAAGAATACAGGGTATGTGCTTTGCAACTTCCGAACGAGCAATGCTGCATCAGGCTGGAAAGTTGAGAAAATTATGGGCCTGTCTTTAGCATAATCAAACACAACCTTCAAGATTGCCTGAAGGACATGTACGAGATGATCTTGCGCATAGACAATGTTATCATCGAATTTCAACTCAATGTTAAAACCCAATGAAGGTTCAACATTGATAAATGCTTCTTGGAGTGTGCAGAGTGAGTCATCTTGTTCAACATCCCATCGCACTATTCTACCATCCTTGGTTTTTCTGAGCAAAACTCTTCCCTCCATTTCAGGCTCTCTTTGAGGACCATAAGATAGAAACTCAGATAGACACAGCTCTGGGATTCTCTTCTCAAACACATTACCCTACAAAACAAAAACCCAAATGCACATTCAGAATCAACCAAGAAAGAAACTCATATATTGACTGATTTAAAAAGAAAGAAGAATAAGGATCTTACATTCTCCTCAGAGAGGATGAAATCGTCGTGGAAAATGACAGGGCAGTCATCTTTTGTCACCTACAAAAAACCACACGTGCAGTTTTGCTTTAACTTTTTTTGTTCTGCTTCTTTTTCTTTTTTAAATAATAAAAAAAAGCCAATCAGTACAATACCAAACCATTCAAGTAAATTTTTTTTTTTTTAAAAAAAAAAACCCAAGAAACACAGCTTATTTACGAAAGCGCCAAAGGGGCAAATATGAAAAAAAAAAAAAAAAAGGGAAGAAAAAAAAAGCGCGTACGCATCATAAACGCGGCGAACAAGAACAAGAACATACGTCGAATATTCCTTAATTGGTTGAAACAAACAAACAAACAAGAAAGAAAGAGAAAGAATGGTTACCTGAACGTCAAATTCAACGAAATCGAGAGGGAAATTAGCAGCGGCGTTGAAAGACATGATGGAGTTTTCTTTTATGGCTCTCATTCTCCGATCCGAAGATTGCAAGACGTTCATGCCATTTCCCCTATGTCCGATCACCACAAACTTTGGCATCTTGAACCGGCTCCGGCTCATTTCCACCCCTAAAAATATCCATATTTAATAAAATAAATAAATAAATAAATGAATTTCATCGATGATAAAAGAGAGAGAGAGAGAGGCGGTGAGTACCGTTTGAGAAGCGGGTGGAGCATAAAGCTAGAGAGGCATTCTCCGGCACAAGATCAAGGGAAGGGACGTCGGTGACGTGGACGGCTTTGAGAGCCATTTTTTTTTATTTTTATGTGTGTTTAGGGGAGTGAAAGAATGAAAGGATTGTGAGGAAGGTTGCGTTGCGATGGTGGTGAAAAAAATTGGCTTGGTTTGTTGGTATTTATGGTTTCGAACCAAAACCCACACTGGACAATCCCAACGGGATCTCCGCAACGAATATTCTTTCTTTGATGTCATATGCTTTGGATATTCCTTCCCTTTATTCTCTCCCCTTTTTAATTTTTGGACCCTAACTATTCGTTTCTCTATTTTCTTTTGTTACTAATTTATTCTGCCGTGTCAAAATAATTCTCCTGATTAGAAAATTTGAGTCCGTAGGAAAACATTTGAGGAGAAAGTAAACGAGGTTAATATTTTTCTTTTCAGTCCATTTAAGGATAATAAAATTAAATTAAATTATGAACCTATATATTTTTGTATGTGTAATTAATAAACCCAAAATAAATTCATGTACACGTAGTTCACGCCAACATTTATACATTGAGTCAACATGAGATGAGAGTATGTCGTTATTCAACCAAGAAAAAGCTAATTATACTGTATAAAACATTTCTCAAGCTGCTTGAGATAAATTTATCTTCTACCACTCTAAAACTATGTCGTTTTGATTATTTATTTCTTTATATGTATTGATTCACCTTTGAATGGTTATGATTATCATTTTCTCTCTCTTCCATTATCATCATTGATTCATCTTTGTACAGTTACGATTTAGTAACTAGAGATAACTTTATCTCCGACTTTGAAAAATGATAAGTCCTATATATATATATATATATATATATATATATATATATATATATATATATATATATATATAGAGAGAGGTAGGATCTTTTTGACACCGGTGTCAAATTTGAAGTTTGACACCTCATCTGAGAACCGTTAGATCAAAAAAAATCAATGGTGTCACATGCTTACAAATCAGAGTCGTTGATCATTTTTGATCTAATGACTCTCAGATGAAGTGTCAAACTATATAGGAGAGATCATTTGACTCAAGAGTAAGACTTATAAGTCTTACTCTCCATCCTAACCGTTGATTTCCGTCCATCCAACGGTTATAATTTAGGAAGTTATATTAATTAATTAATTATTAATTATACTATTAATGACAACCGTTGATTTCCGTCCATCAACGGCTGAGATTTGGAGTAAGACTTAAAAGTCTTACTCTGGAGTCAAAAGAACCCTCCCCATATATATATATATATATATATATATATATATATATATATATATATATATATATATATAATAATACACGACCATGAATACTGCAAAAGGCTTTTCTCACGTATACACTTTTTATACATTGAACTCACTAATCGTTCATACATTAATATATATTACAGATAAGGATAAAATAAGATTTAAATGATGTAAATTGCTTGTATTTTTATCCTTTTATCTATTAATTGTTTAAATTAAGAAATTAATGTTCCTTGTAATTTCAAAACAACGTCCTTTGAAAAAAAGATATTTTAGTAAAATATTTGATATAATAGAAAAAATTATTAAAATGCTTTGTATTTTTTTAAACCCTAAAATTATATCATTTAGGGGTTTGAAAAATATATAATATTTAAATAAAATACATGATGTAATAGAAAAGTGAAATTATTATAAAAAAAATTCTAAATCCCAAAAAAATATTATTTTAAGATTGTAAGAGATAATTTTATTTCTAAAAAATATTTTTCCCTTAAATGTATTCATCAGCTTCTATTTGTATATAAACACCACTTAATAATAAAATCAACTTTAATTTCGGGTAATTTCCAATAATATATATAGAAATTGCAGCATGTAGAGAGCACGTTCACGAGTCAAGACAATAACTAAAAGATTCTGCTACGATGGGGAGCTTCTGGGGTCATCCCAAAATTTAACTAAAACATTTGCGAAAACTATATATAGTACCAAAACTTATTATGGAGGATATTATTACTGTCAAAATTTTCTACTACCAACTTATTACCTATTTAATTATCATTGGATTAAAGAGAGAGAATGTTAAAAAGTTTTTAAAAAAAGAAAACATATTGATTCAATGGTGATTAAATAAATAGTGAGTTGGTGGTAAAAAAAATTTATAGTAATAATATCCCTCCTCTTATTATTATTATTATTTTTAAAGAAAAGTTTGAATCTTTGATTCATCAGGTGAGTTAGGAACCAGTTTTGTTTTTCTTTCTTTTCGGTATGCATAAAGTTCAGCAGCGTGTAACTTGATGATTCATTCAAGAATATGAGTAAATTTCGGAAGCTTTTCCTCTGTAATAGTCTATATCTGATTTATATAAATGTAATGTAAATGCAAAGCAAAAAAAGCTTTAGGTTTTACATGATATTATCCCTTATTAGTATATATTTTTCTTAAAGTGAACATCTATTATTGCATTACAAATACAATAATATGATAAGCGAAAAATATGTATCATTTTAAGACGTAAAGTTGTATCATTTTAAGTGAGAAAAAGAAATAGATAAAGGAGAAGAGAGAGTGGATAAAAAAAATATAAAGGTGTGAGTCCCACATCTTTGTGAGAGTGAAAGGATATAAGTTGTGTCAAAAAAAGATAAACATTTTTAGCATATGATAATTATATTGAAAAAATGCACATAAGTTATTTGTATTTATTCTTAAAATGATATCGTTTTGGTATTGAAATCTTAAAAAATTATAAATATACAGACTATTATAGCCTGAAATAAATTAAAATTATAAAAATATCATGATTTCCGTCATAAAATAACGTCGTATTAAGTTTACTGTATATAATTTATCTACGATAACGACAGGAAAAACGAACCTTAATTATATATAAATAAAGTAGAGAAATGATAGGGAATAATGGTGTTGGGGTGGAAGTTGAATTGGCAAGCGAGCGTAACGCGGAAGAGATAGATGTTGTGTCATATGTGACGGTGCGGGGGCATGTGACATTAGAATCGGTGGCTGGTAAGAACTTTGTGACAGCATGAATATATCTTATATGACTAGATGGAAGGTGGGGATTTTCCGAGCATTCCGGAGACTTGACCATTTTTCTATTTTTGGGTTTTTCTTTTCTTTCTTTTTTCTCTGAGTCGCAAATTGAAATTTTTTAAGGATCATTTAATATCGTGACTCTGCAATGACGTGTATGTAGAACCAGAATATAATGACGTGGTGGCACAACAGCACCTATGAGATGGGTACTAATCAGATAAGGGAGATATGTTACAAGAGATTTGTTTCTGGGTCGCATAAGGAAAGCTAAAAATAAAATAAAACGGTTTTTCATACGGTTTGTTTCTGGATCAAATAGTTTTTAGGCAAATTTAGTGTTATTTGAGATAAAAAAAATTTAAATTGAGATAATATTATTTTCTGTTAAGTTCTTTTTTTTACTGACTGCTCTAAGTCTTCCCAGCCTAGTATTATAAATTTATAAGGGAGAATGATAATTCACTATTATTTTAAAAATTGTTTATCAATTTATTCAATTTTTTAAATTATTTTCCAATCATATTAAAAGAATTACTTATCTTTTATCATACTTTGATAAAAAAAATGATCACGTTTGATTATGAGTCCTATAAATATGACACATGTCATTATTGTGTGACTGATGTGTGTCATATTTATAAATTTCATCATGATCTATTTTGACCAAAATAAAACAAGTTGATAAAAACTTTTAAAAATAAGATAAATTAATAAATATTTTTTAAAATAAAGGTAGATTCATCTAGAAAACTCGAAGCTTTATTAGACTAATTTTCCCTTCCTTGACCCAATTACGTGTACATAATTTTCTTTTTTAAAGAATGCTAGAGGATTTGTCTTGTTTGGTTGATGGAGGTGACGTGGGCCCACGATTCAGGTCTAGTTATGCAGAGGACATGATCGGCAAATAAAGTAAGGCAAACAGAGGAAGAAAAGCTAGAGTGTTGTACATTAAACAATACAAGATTGGATAACATATAAGACCATATCAGTATACATAAATTAGCAATAGAATTAAAATGTTACATTATGCGGCATGGGTGGTGGACCAACGCATACTCAAGTTGTTAGTAATTGAGTGGCAGCCACACATTGTCCTTCTTGTCTCTTGCTAATTTTGTTTTATGTAAGTATAATAAAAAATGACTCTTGCTTAGTGTTGCAATCAAAGTGGGTATCTTGACAGCAACTATTTCTTTTGCTCTACTAAAACTGACTTCAACTAAAGTATATGATCATTTGATCTTTCTGTTTTTCAGCTTTACTTTAAAATAAACAATTGAATTTGTAATTATTTAAAATTATGGAAAGCTGAGTGACAAAAAAAACCCATATTAACTCAAAATAAATTAATAAGAAGTGGTTTGTGAGTCATTATCCACAATATATAATGTATAAATTGTTAAATAACAAATAATATTCTTAGACATTTGAGTTTGCTTAAAACGAAAAAACTTTTGGTTTTGCTAAATTTTTTTATTAAAATAGAAAAACGCAATTAATCCAATGATAAATTTAACACCTGATTAACAATGCTATACCCCTGCCAATTGTTTTCTCTCTTCATCAATTCTACAAATGAGTTAAAAAGAGGTTGTGATAAATTTAGAAACCACATCCACACACTACATAACTTCTATTAAGATCTATTAAGAATTAAAAACTTGAGAGATGCTGCCAATCGTCCTCATGCTTAATTTTTGAATTTATGGGTTTCTTATTAGTAAGTCTAGAAGTTTGTTATATAAGTTTTTTGAGCTCATAACGAGTAATAATCAATCAGAGATTCAGAAATTACAAATATTTTAAAAGTCATAATTAAATAAAAAATTGTATAGTTAAATAAAAATATTCAGAATATATATATATATATATATATATATATATATATATATATATATATATATATATAACAAACTACATAAATTACAATATAATAAAACATAACTTAAATAAAAATATTCAAATCAATCGGATTAACTACAAAATAAATACTTATATTTTGTTTATAAAAAAAATACTTATATTTAGATAACATCAAACATATTTAATATTTATTAAATAATTAAATAAATTTTATCATGTTTA